TCCCTTAACGACGAGTTACGATCGAATTAACAGATTGCCCCGCCGGAAAGATAGTCTCCTTCGCATTCTATACACGCCATCATCTTTTATCAGGTCTGTCAATCTTATTTTTTATGCCTTCTTATAATTAAGAAGTAAAATAAGGAATAAAAATAAATGAGATACAGAGAGAGAGAGAGAGAGAGAGAAAAAACGTTAAACTTGAACTTTTTACCAAAACAAAGGTAATTAATATTCTAAGAGGTAGGGGTCCAATTTTTAAAATTTTAGTAAAGCAATATTTCTTGCAATTTGAGTGTGTTTTTCGTGTTATTTAATAAATTTTATATTTATAAAGAACAGATTTGTTACTATTAACAGAAATCAGCACGTGATGTTTATTTAATATTTTTCTTCAACTTCTGTCACCAATCTTCATGTAATTTAATGTCTACGATTGAAAACACAACGTTTATTATAACACATAAATATATTTTAACATATATCGAAATGTTCAAGTAAGCGTAGAACTGAAAGGGAAGGTGAAAAGTCTTGATGAAAACTCGTAACTATACGTAACAAATATATCGTAACGAAATTGAGATTAGTTATCGAAAGCAGCAACTTTCTCGCATGGCGAGAGGAAGGCCGAACGAGGAGAAGAGATGTGCCGAGATGGTGCAACGCGGGCTCAAATCGGGTAGTTTGTTCATTAGAGATATTTTCCGACGGATGAACGGCAAGAGGCGTTCAAGGAAGCGTGCTCAGAGTGTATTTGTCTTGATAAGTTTGAGGCAGGAAATGAGACTGTCGATAGGGAAGAGAGTCTGTGCTCACTTCCCTTAAAAGAAACAAAACTGCCAGAAATGAAGATTTCGATACATTTAATGAGGAATAACGGTTGTGCAGAAGTATCTTAACAGTCTGGAAGCAACCTTGCACAAGTACGAATCCTTCGAAAGTAAATACCTTGCTAAATTAATGCTATATTTATTTAAAAAGTTTTTAACTATTATGCGCACCCACAAAATATTGGAGTAAATGTGTTATCTTTAAAGAAAAAGCGTTCTCTCTCTCTCTCTCTCTCTCTCTCTCTGATGGTGGTGTTTACATAATTCTATACACAATAGAATAAAGACTATTACATATACATCCAGTTTACAAAAAATATGCTGCTTATAGTTTATATTTAAATATTGTGTTTAAAAACGATCAATAATGAGAAGTCAAAAAATAAAAAGTTATTACTTTCTAATACACATTACACCTTTACCTTTTTAAAGTGCAATTCCAAGAATAGAAACCTAACTGCATCCGAGCTAACTACATCCGAATATCCGCTATTATACATCGATCGCAGTCAGAATTTCATTGGTATTGCGACCATTTGGAAAGCTCGTAAAAGGGCGATTGACTCGACTGCATCGCGTTACTTTTATATTTCAAAAGCGCATATAAAAATTAATGTAAATGCAATGGCAGTTAACTCAGCGAGCAATAATAGCGCTTTTAAGCGACGGAGAACATATTCTAAAATTGAAATAATCAACTTCATTGCAGAACTTTGAAAGAAGAAGAAAATAAAACTATATTATATGTTCAGAAATTTCAGCTTTAAAATTTTAAAATATTTAAAAATGAAATTTAATATACGAAATCATTAACAATTTCATTTACTGCATAATCAAAATGATCGATCTTATTAACCATTATTCAAAAATACAAAAAATTTTTTTTCCAGAAATAAAATATAATCTATCGTTTTGATAATGAATTACTTTTGATAAATGTTCACAATTATGAATATATGAAATGTTGATTTCGAAGGCAGATATTAGATTATCTAATTATTTCTTCGTCAGAATACTTGTTTTTGTATCCACTGATAGCCTTACTGTGTTATCCGTTATGCACAGTATTATCAAAAACGTTATCGATTTTATACTCCCGCACCAACAGTAGAAAGAGGATGACAAAGCGAAAGCAAAACAGAATAAGGTAAAAGGAAAGAGGGGGGGGGGAGAGAGAGAGAGAGAGAGATTTTCGCTCCCGTATCAGTGGGCAAGGCCCGTTTGACCTGGCACACATGCCGCCCATAGATCAACCAGAACCCTTAGGCCGAACCCCACCATGCCACGGGCTAACCATTAATTTACAACCCGCAGAGTAACCCCATGCCTCAACCCCTGCATACAGGATCCACGTCCCCTTGCGGCAGATATGAGCTACGACGTGGCGCTGAGGGATTCAACCGCTCCAGTTCCCGGACGGTCCCTTCTATCTCTCCATTCGGCGGTCTCCTTCACTCGCCATCTCCGTTGCACCCAACCCTTAAACGATCTCCACCTACCCGAGAAATACCCCGTTTATATCACGACGAAAGAAATTTAAATCTATCGACGGCACATTTCGATTAATCTATAACGATAACTCATGGAGCTCGCGAATCTTGCAACGTAGACTGATTTTACTGGTAAAATATTATTTGCATCTTAACGTTCTTCAGCTAAATAGATTATCTCCCGAAAGAAATCAGAGACATTCTTTATATTTTATGATTTAGCACTTTTCCCATTAGTGTAAGAACACATCTTCGTTAATCATCGCATATGTAATTTTACTTAAACTAAGAAGATACTTCTGTTAATCTCTGAACGTTATAACCCCTTCGGCCTTTTCTTTAAGCGACGAAACGGATTTACCCAGCCGACGTGCTCATAACGAGCTCTTCGGAAAAGAGTAAAGAACAAAACTCTTAATTGTCAGCGGACTTTAAACTATCCAGGACACGGATGGAAGAAGAGAAGACTAGAAGGAAGCAAATTCACAAAAATGAAGAGAAAGAAGGAGAGAGAAAGAAAGTCACGAATAAATGCAAGGAGCCGAAAGGGTGTGGGAAATGCTCTTTGATTTTGCGGGCTTTATTTTCGTTTAATAAGCTGGTGCGAATAGGCCCGGCTGTTGCTTGTGCTTTGTAACTCGACGGAAGTAAGTTGTCCCCTGTTTCGTTTTGTTGTCCAGCAGTTCTCTCCTTCGTGTCTCGACCTTCTACTCCTTCCCGCTCCTCCCGCGGGAATGAAAGGAACGAATAATTAGAGAAGGTTGGCGGGCATGGCCCGAAAGTTTCTGGCCAATTAATTAGACGGAGAAATGCACGGCACGAGAGGTAACCAGCGCATAAGCGCCAGAGACGGCAATTTAAACAGCGACAATTCGACTGCGATTATCGCTGCACAAACGTTTTGACGGCGCGCTTTTATAATGTAAAGACTTCAGTGTTAATAATGGCGGATATTAAGGACTTGAATACATAATAGGCTGTGCACTATGAAAATCATAGAATTTAAAATTAAAAGGATTGAATAGATAAAATATAATGTATATAGAACAGCTAAAAATAAAAAGGTAAATATGAAAAGTCTATAGAAAGAATAATTATAATTATAATAGAAAAAAATTTACAATTCAAAGTTGTAAATAGAAAAATATTTCGAAAGAAAGTTTAAAATGAAATGTATATAGTTAAGAGAAAGATAATCTTTACACGCGTGTTATTTTTTTAGATTTACATTCTATTGATTGTACTTTAATTAGATAATATTGCAAAAAGTAAAACTTTTTACGGTAACGTTGTTCTAATTAACGAATCTGTATATGTGACTTTATTTATAATTACAATATACTTATCTAATGTATTATTTCTAAATTATATTCATACTATAAGTGTGTAAGCAAGTTATACGAATTTGAGTATCTGTCGCCGTACAACTCATTCATATCTAAATGAAAAGATAAAACAACATTAAGACAGAAAATACTGAAATCATCATATTGAATACTCGCAAGAACTTCATATTATTTACATATATACGTTTAAAACACCTTTACATTACGTGTCAATAATCAGATACCTGCAGCTACGCACTGACAAGTCATGCTCTGTGTTGTCTTTGTCGATCTTACAATAATAAAATATCGGCTTTACATTCGATGGGCGATAAGACGCACGCGCTCCCCTTTCACACCAGGGTACACTGTATATAACGGCTGGACGCACCCCTTCGACCCTCCCACCAGTCCCTCTTCTTTCGACCCTCGTCGTCGGACTCGCCCCTCGTTTCCTCCACTTAAAAACCGGTAATTACTCTGATGCTAGTGCGCTCTGGCATTTACCATCCGCTTCGGTGTTACTCTGTTTTCTGCTAAACAGCGACACTCGACCCGAAACTCGATTTTCGCAGCACGCTATATATCATTGCATTATACTGCGCATTAGTCCTCGTGATGTGAACAACGCAGTGAATTAATTTTGCAGCGAGTATCAAAAACGCTACCATAAGCATCTTCGCAACGCGTTAGTTACTCCACATATAACATTTTATAGGTCGCATAATTTTGTTGAAACACATTTCTTTCAAAAAATTATTATTAAAAATTATATCACAACACTATTATTACTATTATTATATTATTAAAAATAATCTACATCCACACTCTCTCTTTCTCTCTCTCTTAGGACTATCTCATCATAGCTTAGAAATGTTGTTAATTTTAATACTATAGTTATTAGTTTTCTTACTAGAAATATTATTTATTACCTATAATTTTCTTTCACATTTCCTTTGTGAATAAAATGGAAAGAATAAAACAAGAAAAATATAGAGATTAGATTTCAAGTATATGACCTACCGATCAGTATACTTATTTTTTAGTAAAGTCTTCGCACCACGTTTTCGGCCAATTATATTTACGTTACCAAAATAAAGAATCTAATGAAAATTTTTGAAAGAATGACACGTGACGTTATGAACTTTTACGAAAACATTTAAATGTATACCAAATTATTCATATGTAAAGATGTACTGTTATAAGAGATGTTAATCAATATTTGTAAGAAATATGTAAATCTTTTAATTTTTTGATAAACAATAAAAAATAGACATAATAAAAAATCTATCAGAGTTAAAAAAATTAAGTAATATAGTCCTCCCACATACATTGTACATGCATACATTACTTACCTTGATCGTCGTGTGGTGGGATCTTTCATAACCATAACTTCTGTGATGTCTCCGTACTTGGTGAAATACTCTCTAAGGCTCTCTGAAACAATAAAACTACTTGATTATTTCTTGCACAATAGAAAACTATTATAGTATAAGTGTTTTCAACGACATATAAAGCTGTTAAAATGTATATTTTAATGTTATATCTCTCATCTCATAATAAAATATAAAATTATACATTATATATCATTCTCATTCTTCAAAAAGCACACACATTAAGAAATTATTTTCATCGCAATACACATTCGCCTTTTTTTATAAAAATCTTTTTAAGCAAATATATGTCAGACATAATGTCGAGGCATCGCGATGGAAATTCAAATTATCCCTTCGCATAGACATATGTCAACCAAAGTTAGAGCTGAAGGTAACACAGAAGATCACTGACGCTAATTGGAATTAGTAGATAACAACACGAGTCGACACTTCGGAGCATAATCCTCGTAGCCTGATAAACGCGGTGCGTGCGTCCAAAGTAAAGCTTTAGCTTAACACGACCTAGCTTTGATGGTAGCTAATTCTACACATTGTGCACCTGCTATGACGAGTTTGCCCAACGATCGTTTTCCGTTAAGCAAATAGTAATAAAATTAGTTATAATTTACAATAAAAATATAAAAAAAATGATACCAATAATAATTAAGTCAAGAGTTGTAATTACTATTACTAATAAGTAAAAATAACTGTTTTTATTCTTTATTTTTTATTCTCTAGCCAATTTTTATAACTCTTATCGAAAAAATAACATCGTGAAAGAAATTATTCAAATAAAAGTATCATAAAAAAGACGCGGAAAGATATACGTTGCAAAGACAAATCTGTAGACTATAATGTAATTATCAGAGGCGGAAATTAGAACACTTCTTCTACATAGTGAACAACAAAAAGAAACAAAAAATTTATTCCCAGTGTCTCTTCTCTTTTTACTTTTTAGTTGGCTAGGAAATTATCCAATCGCGTACGTGTCATACGATCAATGCGACCGATGTAACCAATGCAGAGCTTTCTCGCTTCTCTCCACCAGGGACACCCCCTTGACCCTTTTCGTAGGTTTATAGCGAAAAGCTGAACACTGGCGGCGGGCCAGCATGGCCGCGCTCCAAATACGTCTTACACCTTATCTAATTATACGCTGTTTCATCCAGTCCACTTTAAAGACTTCGTAATGTTCAGCGGTTACTTGTCTGTGCGAGCGCGAATGAGCTTTAATAAATTCACAACACGATTTTATGATACGCTGCGATACACAAAAATAAATGTGTAAACTTTTGCCTGTTCATATTTGTGCATTTTTAATGATTTGAAACTTCTGAGAAAAAAACATTTTATATCATTATTCTTTATATAAAACAAATACAATTCTTTTCAATTAATAGCAGTTTTTTAATTTACAGAATTATAATTAAAAGTTTAAGTTTTAAAATAATGCCAAATGTTAAAATTTAGAAAGTTATCAAAAATGTTATAAAACTGCAGCATATTCGTCAAAATAATAAAAATAAAATAAAGATATACCGTTCAGAGAATATTAAATAAAAGAAAGAAAAATATCAAATTGGACAGAACAATTGCCTATATTACACAAAAATACAAATCTTAATTATTACTATTTTCCAAGTAAAATACGAGCGAGAAAACGACTACAATCGAAAGCTTGGAATGTTTGATAATTGTTATTACTGGGGTGCGGAAAATACGAGATAACTGGACTTGCAAATTCAGCGCACGGCATTAATCAATGAATTATTGGTATCTCCAGGTCATTAGCCACCGGGCACCACCTGTTTGGTAACGAGCTCCGCGCATAAATTACACTCGACCCCTCCACTGTTAATTAGTGGCACCAAGTCGGAATTCTTAAGGAGACGATACAGCAAGAACCTGTTATCAACCCTACGCTGGCTAATGTTCGTTTCATGACGAAACATTTAAAAGACAATTAAGCTAGACCAGAGACATTGACGTTACCGTTTATTACGCCATCATCCCTTTCGAAAATAAGATTTTGTTAATAAAAAAGAGCATTATTGAAGCACGCTGTAGAATTATTTCTTAATGGATTTGTAATTTGCATTTAATTCAAAGAACTTTTTTTAGAGAACAAAGAACCTTTGAGTTCGCAGGTATCGTTGAAATTTTGGAAATTCGTACAAGCAAAATAACAATCACATTAACATTTTCGCCATTGAAAATTTTTTTTTATTAAATTACAAAGAAAAAGCTGATAGATTCTTTAATAACCTAGAGAATTAAAGGTCATTGATTCCGACATACTATTTTACTTTTGAATAATATTTCTTAAGCCTATTTTACGATATGTTGTTTGTTTCCTGCTTCTTGTTTTTTTCCCTCTTTGCAACTATTTTATTGACAATTATATTTCTTGCCTTATATTTACGAGCTTTCGTTACTTTCAATAATTTTTGATCAAAAAACATGTAATTTTTGTACTCAACGTATAATATAATAAAATTTTATTTAATGAAAAAATCGTAATACTGATTATTAGTATTAAAAATATTTTTAATTTAAAAAATCTGTTTTCTTTTCTAAGAAATTTTACTGTCTAAAATATTTATACATTTCTCTATTATTCACGTATAAAAACATGTTTTAAATACAACACACTGTGTTTTATTATAAAAAAAAAAAGAAAACGTTATTCTTTGCCAACCCTATTAAAAGCGTATAGATTTTTCAGAACATATTCTTCTGTTTTCACAATAAATCTTATACATTTTTAAAACTCATTGTAACGTCACCCTACAACAAAAATGTCGCTAAAAGAGGACCCTTGTTCCCATTGAACAGGCTTGCCAATTCTTCCTTAATTTGTCCCGGCTCTCGGATTGATGGAAGCAATTTCGTTCTCGCGAAAAGACGCCTTTAAAACGCGGCCGCGATTCGCCAAAATTTACGGCTGTCATTTCCTTAATTGTTCTCCGGCACAACTTATTTTTCACCCACGGCCTTCAATCGTCCCGCATTCTCATTTCAGCCGTTCCAGTCACTCGAAAGGTAGCCGCTCGTGCCTTGGCCCTTTGCCGGTGACGACTAGCTTACTCAGTCCCAAACTCTTCCCTGCTCCGAATTGCAACAAACGGAAGCTAGAGCGATACGTTGTCGACTTGGAATGAAGAAGCGCTCGCGGGAAATGGAATGTTTACTTGTAACTTTCTTTAACTCTTCTCTCAAGAATGCAGTAATTTATAACGTTGAAAGCGCAAAGACTGCAGCTCACACTTGTTATAGTAAGAGTAGGTTGATTAACTAAGTATTGTACAAATAGAATAAACAGAAAAACAAATTATATATTTTTTTAGTACATGTAAAACTTGTAATGCATTCTCTAATTTGTAATTAAAAATAATAAATAAATATTTTCAATTGTATTTTTTTATGACACACACACACACACACACACACACAGACACAAAGAGAAAGAGAGAGAGAGAAAGAGAGAGTGAGCGAAACTTAAAGTTCTATTTGGAATAGAGGAAGAAATTACAGGACATTAAGGAGTTTACGAGCGGTGAATTTGCCGAAGTGGCATGCATTGTATTGCGTTTTGCATTGGTAATGTGCCAACCACAGTTTTCTTCGGCAAAAGAATGCTGCGTCTCTGCCGAGTTTGCAAACTTACGTTTTATACATCTTAACGTAAAATGCAGTTGTTCGTATATAACACGTTTATACCACGTTTTCACAAATATAAAGTACGTATTTCAGATTTGAAGAGATCCAGATACATTACATGTTTATGTTTAATTATTCATGAAAATGTAGTTTAAAAGTGATTCTAAAAATTTATCTTTACAATAGATCTATATTTTATAATATTGATTAATTGGTAATCTTTCAAAAAAAATTCATAAATTCTTAGTTTCCAAGAAACAATTGATAATAAACCATTTCAGTACACATAGAATCAGTGATAAATTTGTCGTTTGTATTTAAATTATTTTAAGTCTTTTAACTTAACAGCAAACTTGGTTGAAACTTTTGGTTAAACTTTTTTGGTCGAAAGTTTTACCAATATATACAATTCTACCTGAACGGATCGAGGTGCTAGAAGTCTCAATAGCTTTCAAAGAATTGCCCAAAGAGTGGAGCTAATCCGAAACTTCTTCCTTACTTCCAAATCCGCGGATGCTGATGCAATCCTTACTTACTTCAGACCTCTTCATTCTCTCTCCGAGCTTTTCGTCTCGCATCGTGCCGTATCATGCTTCGAGCATATTGGTCTTCATACCATGAGGAAGCTGCAGAACCGCGATCCATCCACGCAGTAGTCAATGGCGGAAGAAGAGACGGCGAGGTGGCGGGCTCCATTCAAATGAGATTCAACGCTAGAGAGAAATCTCGGAAGAGATGCCAGGAGGCTGAAGAGGTAGCAGGAGACTTCTATGGAAGGGGGGGGGGGGAGGCAAGGCAAGCACGGTGCACCCTGGCCTCTGCTCGAGTGTTTTTCTATTCAGAGAAGACTCGCATAAAGTCCTATATACCGAGTTCTATCCTATCCTATCTCCCGGATCCCCCAGGAACCAGGGAGGATACAGGATGAGAGAGGTGAAGGGGCAGTTCTCCCCCATTCCAGAGAGCCGTTCATTGAAACGAATGGCCTTGTCCGCCTCTTCCTCCACGTCTCTTCGTCTTCTCTATCTTCCTTCCCGCTCCCATCCCGTCTCTCTTCGCAGTCTTCTCATTTCTCTCTCTCTCTCTCTCTTTCTCTCTCCTTCCTCCTGCTATCCTATCCCTGACCCTCGAACGTACCTCTCCTCCTCCCCTTTCCGATCTCCAGCCGCACTTCTTTCTTCGCTTCTTCCTCGAGTTACGCCTCCCGCGAATCTGCCAGGATTACTTATCCTTCGCCAAAGGACGCTCAAGGCTCAACCTAAAGCATCATTTGAATAAACGCGGAGTTACTGCGCGCCTGTTCCCGGCAGGCAGAAACGAACGGGCGAGAGATAGTCTCTAGCGCGCGTCCCATGGCTATATTAATGACGTCGTGATACCTCCGAGGCAAAAAGAGAACTC